TTTAGGTTTAATTCATTCATTTTGGTTTAGATCATTTTTTATTTCAATCACATTTTATGAATTAAACAGCTAGGGAACATTTAATATCACTAGACAAAAACTGAAATTAAATCGAATTATTATGCAGTCACGGATGGACATTTCTTCTTATACCTTTTTGGCATAAAGTCCTGGGGTTCAATCAAGAACCCAATTGAACCTTTTATTCGAGTGTAAAGAAAGGCCCGTTCACACCAAGAATGATAACTATTACGATAAAGAATTCTAAAAATCGTTCACACCACCACAACTATGACCATAACGGCACAGAGAAATGAAAGCTGTTTCCATCCAACAATTTTTATGCGCATTTTGGAATATCGGAATATCAGCTCTTTTTTTTTTCCAGCTGATGTACAATTAAATCGTTGAGCTCGAGCATTTAAAGCGACAGACAAAATTATCATTATAGTATATTTACAGTTATCGTTCTTGGTGTGAGCAGGCCTTGCAAAAGCAAAAACATGCAAAAGTGTGAACATTGGACTAGCTGTGAAACTATCCTCAAGAGATGTGATGGAAATGATGACACCTGTTGCTGTTTAAAGAGAGTCTAGATGGGTTTTCCGAATTGGAGTTGAACTGTCCCTTTAAGAACCTGAAGTCTACATGCAACTGATGGAGTTTGACTGTCACGCACACACACATACACTCTCTCTGCAGGTAGCTGATGTGTGTCGTTCTGCACAGCTGTCAAGTTTGCTGTGCTTGAATCCATGTGGCAGCTGCAGCAAGCATCCAGCTGTGTGTGTGTGTGTGTGTGTGTGGAGCCAAATGCTCCTTTGTCATCTCCAAACAATAGAGACAATCGGGCAACACACTCACCCCGGACATGGCAATTAAATCACACAAACAGAGGAGGGGGTGTTATGGAGATGATGATGAGGAAGGGGGTGTAATAGCAAACAAAAAGGCCGCTGGACGTTAATAAAGACAGTTACAGTCAGGATCTGCTTCTGATTGTGTTTATTAATAATTTGAATAAGCTTTTATTTGTTTAAATTCATGATGTTGTTCTGATGTTGACACATACTAAATGTTGTGCAATGCAAATATTGAGGAGTCTGGATGGCGTACCATTTCTAGCTTCATTTCAAAGTGTGCATTCATGCTTTTTGATGTTATATTGAAGTTGAAGTTGTGTCCTAAATGACACACTACACACTATCTACTGTGTAGTGTACAACTAAAAAAGCTGCGACACTTGTTACACACATTGGCTGCGTCCGACATCGCATACTCTCTTGAGAAGGTCATTCACGACAGTTAAATAAGTATGTTCTACATGAATGCGTGTAGCTTGAATGTAATCCGGACGCACTACATTCGCCATGTTGTCATTATCATGAGATTCATTACCAGATGTGTCGCTTCATTACCATTCATAAATCCTCTCCCGTGGCCTCAAGTGTCTATCGTATGAACAATTCAGAATCTCGCCGGAAGTAGTAGATTATCTGAGAATTCAGACGTACTTCTTTTGTTTCGCCTACAGTAGGGAAGTATGCGACTTCGGATGCAGCCCTTGTTTTTTTCAGTTAATTAAGAGCATCATCCGCTTTTGTAACGTGCACTTATTCTTTTTGGAATTTTCAGTGTAAACACTACATACTAATCATACTACAAAACAGCATAGAGTAGTGCACGAGTATGCAAACTTGGCATCTTAGATGACAATTTTCAACAACATTCTTAAAATGCTACGTTAAAAGAACAATCTTGTAAACATGTATTCTTTTAACTCCACTGTTATATGGTAGATGACACATCTTCTGAATAGATTACAGAGTCTCCTGATCAAAACACATGCGAAGGAGACACAGAAACAAGTGATTGTATATAATCATATGCACATGTAAATATGAATTATTTACAACTGCATTTAAAAATTTAAAAATTTGAATATCGTGCAAGAGTTCATTTATTTCAGAAATTCAACTTAAAAGGTGAAACTGATATATTATATAGACTCATTGCATGCAAAAAGTGAGATATTTCAAGCCTTTATTTGTTATAATTTTGATGATTATGGCATGCAGCTTTTGAAACCCCAAATTCAATAAAATATTGTGAAAAAGGTTTTTATAGATGCAAGTCATAATCATCAAAATTCTATAAAAAAAAGGCTTGACATATCTCACTTTGCATGCAATGACTATATAATATATTAGTTTCACCTTTTAAGTTGAATTATCTTTGCACAAGATTCTAATTTTTCGAGTTTCACCTGTAAATCCAAACCGCCTCATGTTACTGAATGAAATGCCGATCCAGGATGAGTTACAGGACTGTTCAAGCATTAGTGGTGTTGATGGACTCGATTCTCCAATTTTTATCATCTTTCTGAATCCTATCCTGACGTAGTTTTGACAAAAAAAGTGATAAAAAAAAGTGTGGAAGTAGTGTGTTCATAAATGGATAGTTACGGTCCTTGATTCTGATTGGTTGAGGCGCGTTCGAAAGCGTTACTGCGCAACCGCCGTTTATGATGCTTTGTTGCTGCATGCGTTGCTTGGCAACCTCTGGAACTACATTGCTTGGCGGAGGAATAAATGTGTTATAACGTTATATTTTTTGTTGCTAGTGTTTATTTTATGAATAAAATAAATATTAAAATGAATATTTTTATGGAGTAACCATTTTATAAAAGCAATAAGCCGCGTCGTACGTAGCAACGCCCCTTAGCTGTCCTAAATTCACTGTAAAACACGGCTTTGCGGTGCTTATTGCTTTATCAAAGGGATAGTTCACTTTGAAATATTTTTTTGGTATGTTTTAGCTTACCTCAAGGGCATCCAAGATGTTGGTGTCTTGGTTTCCACAGTATTTTCAATTTTGATATTTTTCGGTCAAACCGTTGTTGTCTATCAGTCATTTAATGCACGTCTATGGTCACCACCTCAAAGAGCATGCACAGAGTAGTCCAAATTAAACATGATTTAATGACTCGTAAATGTAAGTACACACTGATGGCCTAAGACATGAAACGAGCGGTTTGTGTGAGAAAACGAACAGTATTTATATCGTTTTTACCTCTTGTAACCACAGCCATGTCCAACTGATCTGAAGGCACGGGTGCTTCGTTCTGCGCATGTGCCGGGAGTGATCTCTCGCACGTGTACGTCACTCATTGTTTACACAGAGATTTTGGAAGTTTTACTTTTCACTGTGAAGATCTAAACATATTTATTTAGATATATCGAAATCGATTTCCTGTATATCTAAATATGCCTCAGATCAGTTGGACGTGGCTGTGGTTACAAGAGGTAAAAACGATATAAATACTGTTAGTTTTCTCACACAAACCGCTCGTTTCGTGTCTTAGGCCATCAATGTGTACTTACATTTACAAGTCATTAAATTTAATTTTGACTTCTCTGTGCATGCTCTTTGAGGTGGTGACCATTGACCTGCATTATATAACTGACAGACAAGAACGGTTTGACCTAAATATATCAAAATTGGAAATACTGTGGAAACAAAGACACCTACATCTTGGATGCCCTTGAGGTAAGCTAAAACATATCAAAAACTAATTTCAAAGTGAAGTATCCCTTTAAATACCCAGATGATGCACTTTTCACAGCTTTAATTATACAACAGAGGGGGAGGGGCATCAGACTCTGATGTTTAATGACAAAATAACCTTATAAAGTTCAAACTCTACACCGTTGAGTGTACTGTACAGTCATTTGCAGGCAGTATTATTATTGTAATCTAAAACCAACACTTTAGATATACAAACACGGTGGATTCATGTTACGAATGAGAAAGTGAAATGCGCAATATGGCCGAATAAGTCCCGCCTTCTAAATAAAATAAAAGAGCCAATCCCCAACTGGTGAAGTCACCAATGCAACTGCCGTCAGAAGCACTGGTTGCAATAGAAACTCAAAATATGAGTTTGTGTCAAAATATGAATAAATGCAATTTTTATCTCATAATGACCACTGACAAAAAAAGGACAAACACTCCATTTTACACCCCGTCTCAGTTTATTTTCAGTTGCATAAAAAAAAAAAAACAATCGATGACATCTTTGAGTGAGCCCAGATCTACAGTTCGGCCAGCTGACAAGGTTGCCACATCTGCTTTGCATGTCAATAAAATGCAAATGAAGATGATCTGCATTCAATAGTCTGGTGGGTTGCAACACTGAAGAAGTCAAAGGTCACATGTTGCCTGTTGCTTGAATGGGGCGGAGCCTAATGCAAAACCCTGACAACGCGCGACTGCTGACAGGTGCAACTAGGAGCAAATCAAATGAAACTCTAAACACAAAAATAACAACTGAAATCATGTTTGAAAGACAAACACACACTTACACGGAGATGGTTTCATGAGCACTACATGCATGTGTGTGCAGAAATCACTCTATGAGGGGGAATCTCACCTAATCTGACAAAAACAAAACAATGAGAAAATCATATTTTGCTTGAAGAAAACCTGCAAAATATTACGATCCATTTTTCCGTTAAAATCTATAAATTGAAATATGAGCCATCCGTGTGTCCATGAGATTCACCCCTCGCGTGTGTGTGTTTGTCTTTTCATTTGGATTCTTGATGCAAGACAGAAAATACACAAACCCCAAACCTGCCGGCAAACCATGAGGTTCTGCGTGCGCTTCCTCCCCTAAATGAAGCGGGAGGCCACCAACTATTCACGGAAAATAGTTCAAAAACACTTCCTATGCTCCCCGTCTAAAATTCATATGCCGTTTACAAGATTACATGTAGCTTGTTCATAACTAGATGACTGGCTTGTGTTAAATCAATATCAATGCACACAGTCGTCAAAAGCCAGAGAAATTGACACGTAATAGCTAGATATACCGTTAAATTATTTGACCACCGTCCTCGGCAAACAAATTTGTTAAAAGTTAATAGATTTAAATAGAACGACTTGCAAAAAACGACCACGGCAAAACGGCCTATATATCGACAGCCATTGTTGCTTAATTTCATTTCGACTCATGCTCGATTTTTTTTTTTTTTTTTACGTTTTTAACATCTCACATTGTCTATTTAGGAAGCTGAACATTGCAGGGCAGTAATAAAAGTCCTCTTCGCTGCACGGGCCTGTCTATCAGGAGCTCAGCAACTCAAGAGCAGTCGTCAAACTCGCAGGGGTTTCCAAGGCCACTATTTTCTCCCAAAATCTGACTCTACCGTTCATTCTAGCAAAAAGTGTTCCACTAACATTCGAAATCCTCCACAACCCGCGACACTTTTCACATACACGTTTATCTTCTTAGTTTTTAAAGCGATCGCCTTAAAACAGTGCAAAACCAAAGTAATCCTGTGCAACAGATCTACTTCTAAAAACACAAATGGCATTCATGAAAAACGAGTAGATGAATCATTCAGAAATCATCCTTACGTTCATACAAAATCGAACGCGACGTAAGATTTGTTGGGCAACCCTTTTTACTTAAAACCTTTATATATAATTCATTATAAATGTGTTTTTATTGTATGATATCATGGATCATTGTAACTACAATTATAATACAAATCTATACCTTTAGAAAGTATAATGCATTAAAACATAACCAACATCTGCAAATATAATGCATTTTACTTCGGTTACAATTATTTATGAAAAGATACAATGCATTATGACATATTTTCACATTGTAAATATCTTTATAATGCATTATAGATAAAGGCTTTGAGTAAAGTGTCACCATTTCATTTTTTTTTTTCGGAATAATTTGCGTTCTGCTTGCATTTCACAAACGAAGCCTATTACATGTACATTTATACGTTTTTTTGTTTTTTGTAAAAAAAAAATGTGACTTCAAGAGTAAAATAAAGTAATAATAATAACAACAATAATGCATAATATTAAGGACACTATAACACATTATAAACAGGGACGCGGCCCGAGACGGAACAGGAAACTCAAGAGATCCGATTTATGTTCGTGAAGAACCTGACCACTTCATGTTCAATTGTGTCCTCACACACACACACACACCTCCCGCAGCCATCTGCTGTGAGTGCTGTGTGTGTTTCTGACAAAAGAAAGCCAGCGTGACCCCAGCTGGACGCCCCTGTGGGTCGACGGCGTGCTCCTGACGCCTGGGGCCCGGAGCGGGACGGATGGATGAAGCACAGCCTCCAGGACACAGAAAACTCCAGGGAATATTTGACAACAAAATCAAAAGAAAGAAATTAAGATTTTGCTGAAAGAAAATGAAGCCTATTTTTAGGACCATTAAGACTTTTTGAGCATTATTTTCATGAATATTAAGCATATTTGTAGCTAAAATAACCTCACACCACACCCAATAAAAACTTTAACCCCCCGAATAATCCCTTCGTTAAATTCATGACAGTTAATTATTTATGCACTATGCAATTTTAACAACCATGAAAATAATGCAAAAACAACAAAAAAACTTTAAAAATCATGTTTAAAAAAAAAAGTGTAAAATGTGTAAAAAAAAATTTAATCATGGCTTCATGTTTAAAGAATTTCAAATTTTCCTTAAATTGAAGCCTATTACTGGGAACAATTCGATTTTGCAGCACTGTGACATAACTATCATGAATATTTGGTGCATTTGTAATGCAATTCTTAAAAAAAAAAATGTAACAAACAATCTCAAAATTATTATCACTCAAATGCAAAAACAATAACGATGCATTAATTAAATTTTAAAGTATTTATACATCATGATGATATATTTTTTGGGGGGAAATGTGCTTAATTGATGAAAATAATGACAATGCAATAAAAGACCATGATGAATTAAATAAATGCTAAAATATTGATGAGAAGGTTAAAAATAGGCTTCATTTTTTGTGCAAACATTTTTTTCTCTTTAAATACTTTTTGTTTTACATTTTTCTTTAGATTTCTCTTTCTGACATTTTGTCTAGAAAGAATGCCAGACAGTCTGCGTGCGCGTCTAATGACTGTCTGGTTTTGCGTCTGTGTGTCTGGGTCAGCTCATGAATATGCTGATGTGAAGTGTGAACATATACATATTCATTTCAATCTGCATATTTTAGCCTCTGACCTCTGACCCTCATCCCACAACGCCCTGTCTCATCCATCCTATTGCAGAATGCTTGTGTGTGTGTGTGTTGTAGCATGTCCGTGACCTGTAGTGGTTAGTTAGACGAGTCTCTGGATGTGTGTGTTGTGTTGTGCAGTGGTCAGGCCGTGAGCTTCTGGATGGTTCTGTTGTAGTATGCAGTGGTCAGCGCCTCCAGAGGGCTCCAGTGGTGAGCGTGAAGCTCGATGACCTCCATCAGGAGCGAGCGCGTCAGCTGGGACTCAGCCGGACACAACATCTTATCCCGCACCGCGGCCAGCAGCTCCGTCATCATCTCGGGAAGCTGCTCCTCCAACAGTCGGCCGGTGCTCTGGAGCTGCAAGAACATCCAGACGAGAATCAGCAAGGACACAAACAGAGGCAGACATCTTCCTTGCCCTGTTCTCCTAGGAAATGATTATCTCAGGAAAAAGTGTGAGACTGTGACTCTGTGCCAACAAACACCAACATTTATTTGAAAATATCCTGTAATATTCCGTTAAAGATGAATGGAGAAAGAGAGACAAAGAGGGGGCAGGAATCACTGAGTGTTTTTAAGAGGAAATAAGATGTTCAAAGGGAGACGGACACACTCAGGCTCAAGGAAGGGTCAGAGGGCAACTCCACAGGGGGTACCGAGAAGCAGATGCTAGTCTGAGTGAGAGAGACAGACAGAGACAAAGAGAGAGAGAGAGAGAGAGACACTGGACGGAAGCAGTCGGATGTCCAGACAAACTGTCTCCTGATGATCCGGTTTTGCGGGCAGATGGGACATCATCCACACTGAACATTATATTGGTTTGTTTTCGATATATATATATATATGTGTGTGTGTGTGTGTGTGTGTGTGTGTGTGTGTGTGCATGTGTGTTTTGGATATGCGCACACACACAGATTATATATAATAATACTATTAGTATTATTTGAAGTTAACATTATACAATTTGTAGACCTACACCCCAAAACTAGTTGAGGATAAATGAATCAAAATTGGGCAATTTCAGCATTATGGACATGACATTTGTAGTCAAAAATTCCAGGATAATTAAATCTTTTAATAAATAGGTCTATGTGAATTACACTGCACAAACCAAAAGTATTCCTACCCACCGGATGACGAAGGGTCGACTCTACCCAGAACATAAAATCTTCATTTTATTTTATTTTCCGTGTTCGTATTTATGAGGAAAAAACAATGTTATAGGGACGTGACCGTTCTCTGGAAGCGACACTAAAACTTTCTCAGAGCCTCAAACAGAAAGCACAAAGCCTGTCTTTAAAGTGAATTTCGTTTTCTATTAATTGTATCTTAATTTTAAAAAATATTTCATCAACCATTTACCAGGATTTAACAAATAAGGACTAAATATTGCAGACAATGGATAGGCTAATCACAACACCTGAACTGAAGCTTGTCTCATAAATGAACCGAAACTCAGTGTATAAAGTATCCTTCTTGTCTCACAGACCTGAGAAATATATATATTGAAATGTCTACTTGTAAACAGAACCATTCAAAACGAAAGAAAACAGACTGCTCTCTGCTTATGTAGGCTAAGCCAAAAGTGAATTTCTCTCTGGCACCTCTGTTCAATCTTTCTGATTTTAGTAAATTTTCTAAAAGAGCCTTTTCAACTATTTATTAAAAAAAAAAAAATTGGGCTTCAGCCTGGTTAAATTGTATTTATATATATTAATGTATTTGGTCAAATTAAGCTGTAAAATAAGTAGTTTATCCATGCAATGAATTAAAAAAAAAAAAAAAACTTTAAATGCGATTTTCTCAGGTTTTCAATTTGAGAAAAAAAAAAAAAAAAAAAAAAGGGCAGACGACCATAATTCAAATGTGTATATCTTTAAAACCATTCAAGCTTTGACTTTGACTAGGATATCATTTGAAAGCGTATGGTGTCCTCTTTCCATTAATACCAAAATCTCAATTTTTTAATTTGGGTCACTGTGACTCATTTTGCTGGATCTGGTCACAATTACCATTTTGAATATCAATCACGCTGATCAATTTCATTCTCTCTCTCCCTGATCTTGATCATTATGAATGAGTTACAGATCTCTGAGATGCTGTTAAACTCAACTCACCTCCATAGAACAGCAGAGAACAGCGTCTTCCTTCACCTCAGGAGACTCCAGAAGCTGAAACACAGAACACACTCCTTACGTCAGTCCATGCAGCGATTGACCAATCACAGTCAAGTACAAGTCAAGTCACCTTTATTTATATAGCGCTTTATACAATAATACAGATGCTTTCGGTGATAAACAAGAATCAATTATAGTTCAATTCAGCTCTACAGAAGTCATTGGTGGTGTTATTCCCTTTGAGTCAGTTCAATGTTGATTCCATAAAAAGTTTTTCATAAAACAAAACATTTTAGTACATTTATGCATTTGGGAGATGTTCTAATCCATTGCATCAAAGGTATAATTTAGGGCAAGACAGGCAAATAGGGTAAAAATATTAACTAATTAATATCACCATACTTACCCCAGTAGTTTAATCACAGTAGACATTAGTGCTGTATAGCAAGTTTTCTGAAATGTTAAGTTTAAATACAAAACCAATTCCATAAAAGTTGGGACACTGTACAAATTGTGAATAAAAACAGAATGCAATGATGTGGAAGTTTCAAATTTCAATATTATATTTAGAATACAACATAGATGACATATCAAATGTTTAAACTGAGAAAATGCATAATTTTAAGGGGAAAAAAGTTGATATTAAATTTCATGGCATCAACACATCTCAAAAAAGTTGGGACAAGGCCATTTTTACCACTGTGTGGCATCCCCTCTTCTTTTAATAACAGTCTGCAAACGTCTGGGGACTGAGGAGACAAGTTGCTCAAGTTTAGGAATAGGAATGTTGTCCCATTCTTGTCTAATAAAGGCTTCTAGCTGCTCAACTGTCTTAGGTCTTCTTTGTTGCATCTTCCTCTTTATGATGTGCCAAATGTTTTCTATGGGTGAAAGATCTGGACTGCAGGCTGGCCATTTCAGTACCCGGATCCTTCTTCTACGCAGCCATGATGTTGTAATTGATGCAGTATGTGGTTTGGCATTGTCTTGTTGGAAAATACAAGGTCTTCCCTGAAAGAGACGATGTCTGGATGGGAGCATATGTTGTTCTAGAACTTGGATATACCTTTCAGCATTGATGGTGCCTTTCCAGATGTGTAAGCTGCCCATGCCACACGCACTCATGCAACCCCATACCATCAGAGATGCAGGCTTCTGAACTGAGCGCTGATAACAACTTGGGTTGTCCTTGTCCTCTGTAGTCCGGATGACATGGCGTCCCAGTTTTCCAAAAAGAACTTCAAATTTTGATTCGTCTGACCACAGAACAGTTTTCCACTTTGCTAGAGTCCACTTTAAATGAGCCTTGGCCCAGAGAAAACACCTGCACTTCTGGTTCCCGTTTAGATATGGCTTCTTTTTTGACCTATAGAGTTTTAGCCGGCAACGGTGAATGGCACGGTGGATTGTGTTCACTGACAATGTTTTCTGGAAGTATTCTTGAGCCCATGTTGTGATTTCCATTACAGTAGCTTTCCTGTGTTTGATGCAGTGCCGTCTAAGAGCCCGAAGATCACGGGCATTCAGTATGGTTTTCCGGCCTTGACCCTTATGCACAGAGATTGTTCCAGATTCTCTGAATCTTTGGATGATATTATGCATTGTTGATGATGATAACTTCAAACTCTTTGCAATTTTTCTCTGAGAAACTCCTTTCTGATATTGCTCCACTATTTTTTGCCTCAGCATTGGGGGAATTGGTGATCCTCAGCCCATCTTGACTTCTGAGAGACACTGCCACTCTGAGAGGCTCTTTTTATACCCAATCATGTTGCCAATTGACCTAATAAGTTGCAAATTGGTCCTCCAACTGTTCCTTATATGTACATTTAACTTTTCTGGCCTCTTATTGCTACCTGTCCCAACTTTTTTGGAATTTGTAGCTCTCATGAAATCCAAAAGGAGCCAATATTTGGCATGGCAACTCAAAATGTCTCACTTTCAACATTTGATATGTCATTTATATTCTATTGTGAATAAAATATAAGTTTATGAGATTTCTAAATTATTCCATTCTTTTTTTACTCACAATTTGTACAGTGTCCCAACTTTTTTGGAATCGGGTTTGTATGCAAATGGTGCATTTTCTAATAATATATGCACTAATTTGCATACATTTCCAGAAAGGATAAAATTCTTGTTTCATTGTTGACCCCTTGTCTTTTGATGCTTTTTAATGTTTTCCTTTTGCAAAAAGAGAAGACGAGGCTTCAGTTAATTGTAGAGTCGTCACGGCGTGGAGAAACGGTTTGTTTGGATGTGAAAGTAAAACTGTTTTATTTGTTTTATTTTAAGTTACCCTTTAAAAGTTGGTTCTGATTGGTTGGCTGAGGCTCACCCACATTTTCAGAACAGACTCAAACTGATTACTACGGTAAAAGTGGCGACATTATTAACCGTGTGTTTACGAGTGCTTAATGCCTTGGAAGCTTGTAATTATGGTAAGGGGCGTTACATTTCCGCACGCTTGAGGTGTTTGGCCAATCACAATGCACTGGGTCAAGCTGGCCAATCAGAGCACTCGGAGCTTTTCGGAAGGAGGGGCTTTGCAGAAATCAGTGTGTTTCAGGTCAACAGGGAATAGATGAGATGCAATAATGCACAGTGTCTTTCAGCATGTTAACCTGTTCTATTACACAAACCAATGAACAAAGTAGAGCCAGACCGATATATCGGCAGACCGATATTATCGGCCGATATTAGGCATTTATCAAACTATCGGTATCGGCAGGTATAATGCCCGATAAATGAATATTTAAAAAATAAAATAAAAAAAGGAGGAAACACGCTTGAACCATGTCATGAATGTTGGAGTTGTATAGTTTGTCCACCAGAGGGCACTCTACACAGTCCCTGTTGGTAAAACTCGTTGAGTTGGTCACGTCACGAGACATACATTGCTTGAAAAATAATTAAAAGAACATCCCCATCAGTTCTCTTAACTCAAATAAGCATGACACAATTTGTGGCTATCATGTCCAGTTTTGCTGTTGTTAAATAAGCCGAGAGTGAAGCGGAATTAGCTAGTAATAGTTACGTTATGTTGTTACAGTGTAGTCCTTTTAACTTTTGACAATGTGACGGAAGTATTTCTTTAATAGCGCGTGACAGTTATAGCAATGAGACGCATCATCTCTCCTTGGCCTGTTATATTGAAAATGTATGTTTTACAATTTGTTGCGCGTTTTTGAAATAATAATTTTAAAAAAATATCGGAATATCGGATTTTAAAACCAATAAATATTTGTATCGGTATCGGACTTCAAAATCCTTTATCGGTCGGGCTCTAGAACAAAGTAATGAACTTTGTCTCTTTTTATCAGTCCATAACTCTATAAATGTTATATGACCAACGTTTGTAAAGTTTGTGTATTTTGGATGTTTTCTTTTCACTAGTCTGAGAGAAGACAAGTTATGGAAGCAAAATAACCCAAACGTGTCTTGCCTTCATGAAGTTCATGCTTTCCCTGGGAAATGAACGCTGCTAGTGTTTGAGCTATGGATATATGGATCTTTAATTTGCACCGTTGAACAGACTTCAGCTTTCAGGAGGACACTGCTGGTAATCCAGATGTATATATAGGCCACACATCAACACACGAATCATCTTTCAATTCCTCTTTCACTGTTCCTCATAAACCACCAGCCGACAGACGCCAGCGAGACCAATATCACCCGAGTCCGAGTCTCAACCCCAGACAACTGTTGTGACAGACAGAAATGTGCTCAGTCTGACCACAAACACAGAAGTGAAACTCACTAAACAGGACAAATACACACTATTATTCAGCAACTGAGTCTGATGCAACATGCAATTCTCCGTTTCAAAGGGAATTTTAAATCGCAAAACAGAACCGTAAAAAAAAAGAGCCCCAAAGATGACCACCGCAATGAGAACGAACGAAAAAGAAATCCCGAAAAGAAAACAAATGTAAGCATTTTAGCATTTAGTAATGTTCTCAGCGTTATGCTTTTCACTCTATTCTAATCCTGTGGTCTGGTTTCCCATATGTCTTTTCCCGTAACAGACACGATGATGTCATTGGACATTATGTAAGAATGTTCTTCTCGTCTTGGCCAACATGTTTGTGTAGTGCAAAATTGCTGATTTGCCCCAGGGCACAAATCAGACAGCTCATTAATGATAATGATTCATTCATAAACTGTGCTGAAAGTTCTTCTTTTTGCAATCATATTGCTATAGCGTTCTCATTTGAGTGACAGAGTGACCAAACAGAACTAAACAGACACTGAACACAAATTAAAACTAGACATTGATTCAATCAGACTGGATCCACATAGTCTAGAGCTGGGCTTAAACAGTGTTTGGGGAAGTCTAAAGAGAGACTATTATTCATACTTGAAATTAAAAGTGTGGTTTAACTTGACAAATATATGACACACATATATTATGATTGTATATTAAATAGTGCTTCTCAAAGCAATGCTACTACTAGGGCAACATCCAAAATAAAAGTTTGTGTTTACATAATATATGTGTATGTAGTGTGTATAATTATTTTGCATATATAAATACACACGTGTGCATGTATATATTTAAGAAAAATGTGTTATTAACATATAAAATATTAATATTTACATTTAATATAAACGATGTATAAATATACATACAGTATATTCATGCAAATATTTCTTAAATATATACATGCATGTGTGTGTATTTATATATGCAAAATAATTATACACACTATATATACACATATATATTATGTAAATACAAACTTTAATTTTGAAGCGATTAATCGTGATTAATCGTTGCCCAGCCCTAACTACTACCATTACTACTACTAATAAAATCTATTAAAATATGAATTATTATTAAGAAAAATATTGGTTTTATGATATTTCGGAATAATAAATATAATAATAATAAAACTCAAAAAATATTCATTATTATTAAAAAAACACTGGTTGCATGATATTGCTCAATAATATTAATAAAGTATTATTATTATTATTATTAAAATGATCTTGGTTGTGTGATATTCCTTGCTGCTGCTAAGGAATTAGAATAAGACTACTAAAACTACAAA